AATTCACCCGTTTGTCGAGCCTTTTTTCCTCCCCCCCCCCCCCCCCCCCCCGGAGCATTGCGGCGCAATGACGTCGCGGGCGGCCGAAATTGCTTCGTTGCTAGACGTGTCGTCGGTGTTCTTGTTCCTCATCACCCTCGTCGTCTTTTCCATACCCGTCTTCATCATATTTCCGCCCATCCCGGTGGAGAGATCGGATGCCCTCGGACAGACGCACTCCAAGATCGGGATACCGGAGGGCGAGAGCAACTTGCGCGACCAGTATGCAAACACCAACGACCACGCGCCAAGGATTCACAGCTTGCACATTTACCCGCTCAAGTCGTGCCGAGGCATCGAGCTGGCCGAGGCGACGTTGCTGCCCAAAGGCCTCGAGCACGATCGCGTCTTTTGCCTCGCGCAGCTCAAGACCAAGAGTCGGACGCGTCCTGGTGCCGGTGCCGCCACCACCACCACCTCTGCGGCCGCTGATGAGCCCTCGGCATCATCAACATCTTCCGTACAAGTCGACGAGTACTGGGAGACGCTCACACTGCGAAAAATTGCCCACATGGCCAATGTCAAAGTCGACCTATGGGTGCCCGATGCATCCAAGCACAGCCGCCAGCTCGGCCCGACGACGGGCGACGACGGCAGCGGCGGCGGCAACAGCTTCATGGTCGTGCGCTTTCCCTGGCGCAGCCCCGGCGTCAAGGGCATCGTCGAGTCTGTCGCCGCCAAGCTTAGCCGAGGGCTGTCTGCCGCTCCGGAGCGTGAGTTTATGCTCCCCATGAGCTTCCCGTCTCCCGACGAGGTCAAGGCCCGCGGCTACTCCCAGGCAGAGGTGACGCACTTTCGCAGCGTCATTCCCGCTCTCAACATGGGCTCCGAGCTACCCACCGAGCTGGCTTTATACCTCGGACTCGAGCCTCAAAAACTGACCCTCTTCCGCCTGGATCCCGCCCAGCGTCGTCAAGTCTTTGGCTCCGCGCCAACGCTCGACGTGGCAGGTTATCAGCCAGAAATTGACTTTCAGGATGCAGTAAGTCAGAGAAATTAGTCCATTTTTTTTCTTGTTCCAATTCAGTTTTTTTTCCCAAGTGTATTACTCATATTTCACTGCACGTCTCCAGCTGCGTTACGAGTGGCTTATGCAACCACCCCCCTGTTTGTTCCGGGGTGTTTCGACCATTCTTAGCGCTGCATCGACAGCCCAAACAAATCGAGCTCCAACGGGCATCATAGGCCACACGGGGTTCTCTCTCCTTGTCTCTTTGGCGTCCCTTGGCCCTTTCTTCATCAAGAGTTCATTTCACGCACAAAGCGCTCAAAAAAACCGACAAGAGAAAACGCTAAGAAAAAAATACTGACGTGACACCGCTCTTCAAGTACCCACTGCACCTGCTTAATCTCAGCAGCGTGCGAGCCCTCGAGTCCAAGATCCGTCGGGATGCCGACATTGATCGACTGGATTGCCGCCGGTTTAGACCCAACATTATCGGTAAGTAAAAAATCAAATTGGCATATTCAGCCCAAGTAGTAGTACCATTTTTTCCCTCCATGTCACTGGGTCTATTATCATGCGTTTATTACAAGTCAAAAGTGGTTTACAAACAAAAAGGGCCACGAAACTATATCATTACTAACGCGCGATATCGGGGTTTTTGTAGTATCCGGCCTTCCGGAATACGACGAAGATGACTGGCGGTCTGTGCAGTTCAAAGCCGCGAGCGGCCAAGACGCAGATAATAGTCTCTTTGACGTTTCTTGCCGGACTGTCAGGTGAGTGCTCGCCCGGCGCTTTCCCATCTCCGAAACCGTAATCTCGGGACATTTCGCTAATCTATGTATCATATGCGCGAGTTGCAGATGCAAGCTACCAAATGTCGACCCTGCTACCGGAATCCGGCACAAAGTCGAGCCAGATCACGCTCTGCGACATTACCGAGAGATTGATGCCGGGGCCCCCAAAAAGGGTTGCATGGGCATGCAAATGTGCCCTCTCTTCCCAAAAGATGTCGTGCCGCCGCATCTCCAATCTACTATCCGCGTCGGTATGGAAGTTGTCGTCCTCAAGCGCGGCACGCACCACGCCTTGTAAACAAATCGACGAGCTCCAAGTCGAACAGCAGCAGTCACCATCTTGTACAACATCTTCATTAACATATATTCTTTGTATTAAACAGTCATCAATAGAAACACAAAACGCAATTCTCCACGCTCCCAATACTTTCCAGTCCCATATCCCGCACGTCATAAAAGGCATCGAGCATGAAAAAAAAAAAAAAAAAATAACTGGTTTCTGACAGCAAGACAGACACATGTACAAGATAGAAACGCCGACAAAATGTGGCAGTGGCGAAGCTAATGCCCGAAGCTGCGGTCATCCAAACTACTTCAAGTCGGCTGGCGTCAGGGCTTGCACCATACTGGTGCCCTCGCTGAAGCGCGTTCGGAAAATGCGATTGGCATTCTGGAACATGCCATCTTTGAGACTGACGACAATAAACTGCGAGCCTTTGAAGCGCGTCTTGATGAGACGTCCAATGTTTTGCGTATGCGACAGATCCAGCGCGGCGTCGACTTCATCCAGAATGTACATGGGAGCTGGCTTGAACTGCAACAATGCCATGATCAGGGACAAAGCAACCAAAGACCTAGCAACAAAGTCAGTATCTAGTAAAAGAAATGGTGAGCTGTGCAGAATTGAACATACCGTTGACCACCACTTAGCTCCGTGAGACTCTGCTTCCACACCTTGCCGAGGCAGACCTTGACTTCCAGACCGTCGCCAATCGTCTTGCCCTCGGGAGGATCAAGTTTGGCGAAACTGCCACCGGGAAGCAGCTCGGAAAAGATTTGGCCAAAATCGCCATTCACCTTTTCCCACGTCTCCCGTAGAGCTTTCTTCTTATAGTCATCAAGACTGAAAATAGTTTCTTCAATCTTCCGCTTATCGCGAATAACCGTCTTGATCATGTTCTTGAGAGATACCTCCTTCTTCTCCACACTGTCGATCATGTTCATGACCTTTGGATTAATCTTCTTCTTCATGCCTTGCGAACGCTCCGTCAAGTTGCGAAGAGTTGACTTGCACTCGGCAATGTTTTGGCCCTTAAAGTCGTATGGTGTGCCGCCGCGACCAAACTTATCTTGCTCATCGTGAATCCAATCATGATCAGCTTCCAGTCGAGAGACACTCTCAGCTGCAGTTTGCTGCTCCTTGTTGAACTTTTCGATTTGATGGCCCAATTTCTGCATCTCCAGGCCCTCCTCCGCAATTCGGGCATTCTTTGAACGTGTAGCTTCGTCAAGCGCACGCAGCTCATCATCGAATTGATTCAATTTGGCGCGTTCGTCATCCAGATCAGCTTGCATAGATTCATGTGTCTTCTTCAGTTGATCTTGCTGCTTAGAGACCTCTTGCATGTCATTCTCTTGCGTCTTGATATTGTAGCCTACTTCCTGAAGCTGCTCACGAGACGCCGTGAGATCAGTGTTCACTTGTTCCAAGTCAAGCTGTGCACCCTGTAGACGCTTCTGTAGTGCCTTGACAGCTCCTGTATTTTTCTGAAGATCAGCGCGAAGCCTATCGACCGACTTTTGAAGCTCAATCAGCTTCCCGTCCTTGTTGTTGTCAAAATCTTTCATGTCCTTCTCGATGCGCTTGACATCGGCATTGGCTTCGGCTTGGCGGGCTTTTGCTTCGACTATGCTCTCTTTAAGCTCGGCGATTGTCGTCTTCATGTTTTCAACCTCCTGGATGATCGACGAGGAAGAGTTTCCGCTGATTTGCTCTTCACCTAGCTTGATTTCGTGCCTCTTCAAGTCCAGATCTTGCTTGATGCGCCGAGCCTGGTCGAGCTTGGACTTCTCCTTGGCCATTTTGGACTGGAGCTGCTTAAGAGAGCTCTCAGCTTCGTTGAGCTCACGAGTTAAGCTGTTGAGTTGTTGCAATGTGACGAGAACTCCGCTGGACGTTGGGGCACTGCCGCCCGACAGAGTTCCCGACGGATCGTAAGAGTCTCCCTCGAGGGTAATGCTGCGCATCTTGACGCTTGGATCAAACGTCACACGTTTAGCAGTCTCTGCATCGTCACAGACAAGAGTATTTCCGAATACGTACTCCATAGCAGAGGAAACCTCATCGTCATATCCGACCAAAGACAACGCCAGATCCACTTTGCCCGGGGCAATGTTTTGAGCCGTCGCAATCGTCTGAGCTGACGCTTTGAATGCAGAAATCTTGTTGAGAGGAATAATGGTAACGCGCTTCCTCAGTTTACCCTTTTGCAAAAGCTGCGTGCCAGTTACCTCAGAATCGACAACCACATTGTAAAGACGACCACCAGCACAAATTTCCAGTGCAGTGCCTGCTTTGGTATGATTTTTGTCGAGGGTAAAAAGCTGCGCAACCAGGCCCTTGACCTTTGAACGATCAAAATTGGGCACTGGATCGGCATAATTGAAGTCAAAGTTGGCAACTTTCCTCTTTAGCTTGTCCGACTCTTGACGAAGGCCACGAATAGTCTGTTGTAGGGTGGATTGCTGTTCATACATTTGCTCCTCTTGACCGGGCTCAAATCCAAGCTTGGACAGCTCCTTCTCGAGCCTTTGTTCTTGTGCCTTCAGCCCGTCGAGGTCGCGGAGCAAGTCAGCATTTTGCTCCCTGGCTTTTTTGGCGCGTGGCTCTTCTTCTTTCACTCTGCTCTGCAGGTGGGCAATCTTGATTTTGGATTGTTCTTGCGCAGTGGCAGCCGCATTCGCACGACTCTTTGCATCTTGAAGTTGGCCTTGATAGCCATTTTCCTGGCCGTCCTTGGAAGCCACACCGGTTTGGAGAGTTTGCAGCAGCTCTTCCTTCGACTCGACCTCTTCAGCTTGCTTGGCGAGGCCCTCCTTCTCGGCATCACAATGTGCCTTTGCGGTGTTGAATGTAGAAGTCTTCTCTTCTAGTGTGGACTCAAGTTCGGCGACCGTCTTTTCAAGTGCAAGCTTCTTCTCCTTCTCTTCTGCTAGGCTCGAGGATTTCAGATCCATGATTGTAGCCAGTCGGACTAGTTCATTCGCATGCTTCTTGACTTTCTCCTCCAGCGCTTGAGCCTTGCTGCCCTTTTTGGCCTCCTTGTCTCGCTGAGCTTGGATTTTTTTCACATCCTCCTCCAGGTGAGACAGCTCACTTCTTAGTCGTTTGGCCGATTCTCCAAGTCCGATATGGCGCTGCTTTTTGCCTTCCAAGTCAGCAGCAGTCTGGCGGAGCTTTTCTTGACATTTGACGTAGTCGTAAGCAACAACTACTCGAGTGAGTCGCTCAAGGTCGTTTTGTGTCTGCTGGTAGTCGAGGAAAGCTCGTTTTTCAGTACGAAGCTTCTCAAGCTTGGGCTCGATTTCGTCTTTGAGAAGCTCTCTCAGTTCCTGAAGCTTGACCTCCTTCTTGGCCATGGTCTTTAAAGCCTTGTCTCGACGATCCTCGAACATACGCGTTCCTGCTGCTTCTTCAATCATGGCAAGAATCTCAACAGCCTTCATATTGAGGACCTTTGTAATACGTCCCTGCATGATCAGGAAGTTCGGGTTGTTGATATTCAGTTGGACAGACTGGAACAGATTTTGAACTGTCTGCTGCTGGGCTCGATGGCCATTGATCAGATATTTCGAAGTGCCGCCAAGAACGATTTGTCGGGTAACGCTGATGGACGCATATTCTTCGAAGCCGATTGGGGACTTCTTCGTGTCTCGGTTGTCGAAAACAATTGTCACGCTCGCTTTTGTGACGCCAGCCTGGCCGCGCTTGTAGATGAGATCCTTGAGATACACTTAGTGACTGTAGCAATGTGCGCTAGTATGCAGTGTTATCTACCTGAAGGTTTTGTGCTCGCACTGTCGTCATATTGGTGATGCCAAGGACAAAGCAGATTGCATCCAAAATATTCGATTTACCACTGCCGTTGAGGCCGGTAATCGAGTTAAAACTCTCATCCCTAAAAAAAAGTTAACGCTGTTTCGCCATTGCCATAAATCATGTATAACGAACCATCCCGAGATGACCGTACGCACAGCGTACGACTTGAAGCCCTGCAGATTTGGTTAGCACCCATACGACACAATTCGAAAGTTGAACAGTCTTACGTCAATGACCACTTCTATTACCCTCATGATGCCGTATCAACCTTGCTCGTAGACGATTGTGGTTGTTCAAGCCTTCACTGGCGGCGCATTTCACCAATAGGTGCCCGCTTACGCGACCAGAAAGTAAACAATCCCTTGTTTGGTTTCTGATAAGCCTATCTTCACGTGATCCACTTCCTTTCGTGTTTTAGCGACGCGCTGGGATAATCATGGCCGCGGCCATCGTGCGCTAACTTGATTTGGCTGGAATCAAAACATTGCCGTGTGGAACGCATTGGCGCCTCCACTCCCTTGCGAATACCTTGACCTTCAATTCTACTCTTTATAAAACTTCTCTGAACTCTGTGGCTGGTCGTCGTTACTTTTCTTCATTTTCGCAACTACCAGACTCAAGACGACTGAGCCTCCGGATCATCTGCTCAATTCGTTTTGATTGCGCCGAACGCCCGCGCGGCTCTGGCATCAATTCAAAATGGCCGCGATGCGAGGTCCTCGCCTCCAGGCTGGATCCGCGCCATGGATTGCCGAAGAACGCTCCTCGGCCCTCCAGATTGTTCAGTCAGAAGTTGAGGAATTCTCATTCTCTGCGCGGAACGAAATGGAATGGCTTAATGAACATATGGCTGGTATATTTGATGAGAACGAAACGTACGCGCCTTCTTTGTCGATTGTTAGTCCAGCCTGTTGACACCATCACAGCAACTTTGCCGACGCCTTTAAAACACCAGGAAAGCTGCGCGGCAAAACACCGCGTACCATTCGAACGGTCGCTGTGCCGGGCGACACCCGAGTCGTAAGTCTTCTCACGCTGTCGTTGGTAGATGATGCTAACAATCGCTAGCCGCTCTCCGATGTCTTTACTGCGACACCAAACGGCGCAACCCCCCAGCACACCAACAAACTGCTCTCTCCTAAAGCTATTAGCCGAGCACCGAAGTTTCTGGCCGCAGGAGCAAAGCTGATGCCCCAGCCGCAATCTACGAAAGATTCGGGATACTACGGCAGCCAGGATGTCGATGCTGCTGCTCCCGTCTTTGGTGATTTGGAGAGCAGTTCGCAAAAGCGCGTGATATCCTACGATATAAACATGGCGATCAAGCAAAATCAGTTCCAAGTCCCTCACACCGATATGCCGGAGAATACGCTGCAAAATTTAAAAGAGGAACAGAAACGTCAATTTACGAAGCAGCCTGTTTTCTTCGACATAGAATCGTCACCGACGCGCCGCAACTTTGCTTCCCAGGCCCCGTCATCATCGCCTTTGAAGCACTCGCCTCTTAAATCCCCCATCCCTCACTCCGATATAACCGACGTGGCTGTTGAAAATGACGAGCCCGAATCTCCTTCCGAAGCTTCTAGCCCCATTCGACAAGTTATGCGTAAGAGCAGCTTGAATTTTGCTTCACTTCCTGCGCGAGAACCGCTGGCCGCTGGTAAAATCGCCGGGAGAGTTTCGCGTGTTAGCCATCTGGACAAAGCTAGCGCAGGCAGAAGCCTCGGCCATGCTTCCAAGGATAACGGCTTAGAAGCCGGCAGCCAGGATGACATGGATAAAGCTGCAGAAGAGGTGCCGGTTCAATTGACATTCGATGAGCCAATGAATCACACTCGGACATACACCCAGCGGCTCCAGGACCAGATCAATCAACTGGGCAAATCCAACAGCAACACTTTGGGACCTACTCACTCTCATGCCACCATTTCGTCAGAAAACCAGACTGCTCTGCCGAGTTCACAGTCACACCCGATTGTGCCAGCTTCTCCGACTCGTAAGCAAAGTATCAGCAAAGTACTTCAAACGACACCGGGCGCTTTCCCCGAAGAAGAAGAAGAAGAAGAAGACGATGATTGGATCGAGCCCCCGAGCGTGGCACCACCAACGGACACACGCCCTGCATTCCCTAAGAGCTACTCTGCAGATGCCATGGAGGGCATACAAGGAAAAGGAACAATCGGCCAGCCGGAATTTGCGGTCGCAAAAACGCAACACGGCACTCACTTCAAAACTCATGGCAAGTCTGCATCCGTGTCAACGCTGCCTAGTATGACTGATGCAAAGAGCGACTTGACTCTCACAAAATTCGCATCGGAATCCAATGGCCTCGATACTGTGCCAGAATCTCAAGGTGCGGAGACTCCATCTGGGTCACCATCGCGGCTCTTCCGCGACAGCCCACTCAAGCAGATGAAGAGCAAGCTGTCTTCCATCTTGAAAGGCTCGAGAAGTCTTTTGGCAAGCAGCGCAGCGATCAGCGCAGAGGGGAAATCTTCTTTGCTCTCGTCCTCTACAGTTCAGCTGGGATTGCATCCATCGCCCTCTACTGCCTCATTAGCTTCCAAGATGCGGATTGCTTCCGGCATATCGCAGAATACAGAAGGCTCTTTAAGTCCCACCAAGACCCGTCGCACGCGAGCCTCCGCGGAGCGGGCGCGAGAGGACCAAAAGCGTCGAGAGAAGGAGGCGAGGTTGATGGCTGAGCAGATGGACAGATTGGACAAGGCCCGTGAAAAAGAGCGTGAGAAGGCCCGTGTCTTTAGCAAAGAACAGGAGCGCATTGCTGCCATGGAGCAGGAAATTGCGGCTAAGAAAAATCAAGAGGAACAAATGCACGCAAAACAGACGCCTAAGGCTCTCAGCAACTCTCGCGGAGCAAAGCTGTCTGACGACGAACAAAATACCATCTCACAAGATGTAGCTATGCTTGACGTGCCACAGATCGCACCGCCATCGGCTGTTCGAATGACGAGCACCACACACTCGCTCCGAAATAGAGATGTGAAGCGGCCAGTCAAACCAATCAAGGAAGATGGGACGACGAAGCAAGCCCCGACAGTCATTCGCGTCAAACCGGGATCCCAGCACTCGCAATTTCATCAAGCAGGCAGACAGTCGACTATTCCACAAGATCCTGCTAGCCTTTCCAACTCCCAGCATCAACAGAGCGTAAACGCGAGCAAGGCGTCTCTTCACAGCAAGGTATCATTGCAAAGCCTGAAGTCGAGCACAAATGCACGCCCAAGAGCGGCGGATACGGCTGCCAGGAAGAAGGAGGCAGAAGAGCGAGAGGCTCAAAAGCGTCGCGATGCAAAGGCTGAAGCAGAGCGCAAGCGTGTTGCTTCTCAAGAGGAGCAGCGCCGCAACGAGCAACAGCGACGGGCTGAAGCAGAGCGCCAGAAGAAAGACAAGGAATTGGCCGAGGAGCGTAAGACGGCCCAGCGACAGGCAGCCTTGGATAAGGCAAAGCAAACGAAGGCGCCTCCTCCGGCCGCTCGATCTCAGCCAAATGCCCCTCCGGATTTCACGATGAGCCAGCAGCAGAAGATGGAAAGCCAGGGCAACAGACCCCCTTCTCGCATGATGGCAGGCGCTCAGCGACAACAAGCCGGGGCAAACTCGAGCAAAGCTGGAACGAAGCGCCTGGTCGGACATGCAAACAATGAAGACTCGCAGGATTCTCGACCACCGACTCGTACGGGACCGGCATATCAAGCAAAAGATGCCAAGAGACGCCGCACTAGCGAGGTCCTGCAAGACAGTGCTGAAAGTGGGAATAACCCCAGCAAAGGACATGTTGTACGACCATCTCCCGGCTTTAAGAAGGATGTGCCGTCAAAGTTACTTTTCCAAAATGGCTATTCGAATGCACCACCGAGTGCGGTTCATGATCTGTTCAAGGCCTCAGTGACGTCGCATCAGCTTCAAAGCAAGACTGCTCGCCCCGTGGACATGGCGCAGATTTCAAAGGGCAACATTCCCTTTGCGCCAAACGCAGCGGGCCCTGCCTTCAAAACGCCAGCGCGTCCTGGTCCGTATCTCGCAGGCAAGTCGGCAGCGAAATCCGTGCCTCGTCCATCCCCGCAATTCCAGAACGGAGAAGCAATTGACTTGCCTGAGATCCAGACTGATGACGAAGACGAGGAGGATGATCCTGGTATCAACAACATCGCTGGCTGGGCCGCATCCCCTGACCTCCGAGCGGCTCTGATGCGGCAGGAAACAATGGACCCTTCGCAAATCTTCGGTCCACCAGCACCACTAAACATGGAAGAAGTCTTCAGCAAGAGCAAGGACAGGTGGCCCAAGTTCCGCGCCAGAACTTCAAGCGCCAATTGGAGTGGACCGGACGGATTGACTGAAGACGACATCCGCAAGGACATGGCGGCAAGAGAGAAGCTGAGGCGTGAAGGGGGTTGGTCGTATGAAATGAGTAAGGATGTCTTGTAAGTCGTGGATGTCGATGGTTGACTGTGGGTGTATCACTGGGATGGACTGCAGTCATACGAGGCGGTTTGTTACGCAGCAACGCATAGGTGCATCATTAGAATGAGTTAAAGCGGCATTGGAGTTTTGGTTGATGAGTTACTGGCGTTGGATATAAATTTCAATCAGGGTTGTTCTTCTTGGACGGCATTGCAGGCATTATAATAGCAAATATCATTCACTTGCAGTAGCAACATTGTGTGGCTAAGAAAGTAGACGCAAGAAGTAAATAAATCCTGCCTGGTAGTACCTAACCATCTAAGTAATGCTTTCATAGTGCTGGGATAGGTTTAGCAGTCACTTTACGCTAGTACAGAAAAGTACAACTGTGGCTGACTAGTTGTGGCGCAAAAGTGTCAGTACACGAGGACATGGGCAGACCTAACTGGTAGGGGCTGCATTCTTGAAGCACTGAGCAGCAGTGAAACCCGTAACCTACCAAGGCTGCTCGTCCAGTTTTGATTGGGTAAATACCGATGATATAGACAAAAAGTGATGTTTGTCATCGAGTCGAAAACTGCGTCGTCGCTACATGGATGGTTTCAGAACGAAGTATGGATGCGAGGTGTACAAGTGGCTGATATTGTAAATGGGGCCGCTGCTGTGGGTCACGGCGAAAGGGGGAAAAAAGTTGAAAAGTTTCTGTCGCCGATGCTTCTCAGTGTTCCGTCGTCCCGTCCTTCACACGCGACCAGTTCTTTTTCTTCCTCTCTTTCATCTCTCTACTGCACTACGGCATCTCACAGGCCCTGCAATTGATTAGGATTTGAGACTGGCGTGATCATTATACACTGCAAGCAATGTTCCGCCACGGATTGAGGTCTTCCGCGGGCCTTGCCCGCCGAGTCCTGCCCCGGGCGACTGTCACTCTTGGGCGTTACCAACACATCGCTGCGCAGACGAATCGCCCTGCGATACAGGCAGTTCCATCATGGAATGCCTTGACCCAACTCGCGCGCCTCTACAGCAGTGATGCCGCTGCGCCCGCCGCCGAATCGTCTGCCGGAGAACAAGATGCCTCCAAGCAGACCGACGAATGGACTAAAGAGTTTTCGAGCCTGGCCGAAGAGGGTGTCAATGAGACCCTGCTACGTGCCATTACAAAAGACCTGGGCTACCGGACCATGAGTCCTGTGCAGGCCAAAACGATTGCGCCAGCTCTCAAGGGCACTGACATGTAAGTTGCGGCGCTCCTCTTTGGTCCCGCGAAACGCTCGTTCACTAACAGAATGATGATAGCGTCGCGCAAGCCAAGACCGGAACTGGTAAGACAATTGCCTTCCTCCTACCGCTCCTACAGCGCATGATCAACGAGGACCCGACCTTGGCGACAAGGTCTGCGAAATATGAGGCACGTCCCGATGACATCCGCGGCATTGTCATGTCTCCCACGCGTGAGCTGGCAGAGCAGATTGCAGAAGAGGCGCGCCGCCTCGTTCGTCACACCGGTCTGGTCGTCCAGTCTGCCGTCGGCGGCACGCAGAAGAACAGAATGTTGTACAAGACACGCCGTGAGGGATGCCATCTCCTGGTAGCCACACCCGGTCGTTTACATGATCTGCTCTCCGACCCGGAGAGCGGTATTCAAGCCCCAAATCTGGCTGCCATGGTGCTTGATGAAGCTGATCGCATGCTCGACGTCGGCTTCGAGCGTGAACTGAACGACATCATTAAACTCCTCCCTCGGGATAAGGTGCGCCAAACGATGTTGGTCTCGGCCACGATCCCTGACTCGGTTATTCGCCTCACGCGAAACATGGTTCGCGCCGACGACTTCCAGTTTGTGCAAACAATTGCCGAGTCGGAGTCTTTGACTCATGAGCACGTGCCACAGAACGTTGTCACTGTCTCGCACATAAATAATATCTTGCCCGCCCTGTTCGAGCTCATCGGCAAGGGGCTCGCGGAATCCAAAGAAAACCCTGACAAGAAACCTTTCAAGGCCATTGTTTACCTCAACACGACGGCTATGACCCAGCTCGCAGGAGAGATGGGTTTTGCGAAGAACCGTGACCGCACCTTCGTCCGCAACTTTTCCATCCACTCCGGTCTGACCCAGCAGGCTCGCACCAGAGCTGCGGAAAACTTCCGCAGGTCACAGTCTGCTGTCCTGTTCTCATCCGACGTCACTGCTCGTGGTATGGACTTCCCGGACGTTACCCACGTCATTCAAGTCGATTGCCCACGCGATCGCGAGACATATATCCATCGTCTTGGCCGCACTGCTCGACAGAAGAAGGACGGCGAAGGCTGGCTTCTCCTGCCTGCTACGAGTCGCCCTAGAGCCCGTTCTTTGCTCGGTGGATTGCCCCTCAAGCCTAGTACTGCACTAGAAACTGCCTCATTTGACATAAACTCGGACACCAACCCACCAGATGCCATGGCCGAGACTAAAAAGTTGTATTCCCAAGTGCCATCGCGCCTGCTCGAGGAAGCCTACCGTGTTACCATCTTCGGTTCTACTGAGAGGCACGCCCGTGATGATGTTGTCGATCAGATGAACGAATGGGCTACTCACGGTTGGGGTTGGCAAAGCCCCCCCACCGTGTCCAAGGCTAAAGCTGACAGAAATGGCTTTGGCCGTACCAATCTCAACTTTGGTCCCGAGTCATCTTCATCTGACTCTCGTGGCCGTTCGGATCGTTTTTCGGATCGACGTGACAATCGGGGTTTCGACAGAGACTCCAGGCGCAGCAGCGACCCATTCGACAATATGAAGGAGAACGCCAGGAGAAGCGATTTCGGCGGCCGAGGTGATGCTGGCGGCCGCGGCGGTTTCTCTCGAGGTGGCTCACGCAGTGGCAACCGAGGTGGCAACCGCGGTGGCTTCCGCCGTAACTCGGACAGAGGATCGCGAGATTCGTCGTGGTAGTTGCGCGTCATTATCAGACCAAGATGAAGTGCGCACCAGGCATTACTGGGCAGTGGCAAGCCCAACCCAGCCTGATGGAACGACGAAAATTACCTGTATAACATGTCCCTTTTTACGCTTTTTTACACCTCTTCTTGTTGTTTTCACTTGTGTTATTACGTTCAAAAGTTGAGCCTCTGCCATCAGTGTCGATGGTGTCGGAGTTGGGAAGACTGAGCTCGCGAAATTCAGCGCTTCTGTTTGATAATGTGATTATATGGGCAGTGGCAATTTTCAAACCTTGTTTTGCCAGGTTGCCAGGCGTGTATGACCAAAGGGCAAACCTTGTCTGCTACTGTATAGAACTGGATGCAAGGGTACTTTAGATAGGGAAAAATACCTAGGCGCATAACTGGATAATACACCTCTCTTGATAATCACTGCTGTATAGCCGTTGATCATTTCTGGCCGTCCACGAGTGATGTCTTTATGGCCGCAAAGGGTGAAGGAGCTTTAGTCTGGTGAGCATTCACAGTGATACCGTCTCGAACAAGTCGGTGAGTAAACAGTGAAATGATATGAATAGTACCAAACGCCCATCAACGCCGCATGAAGAATGACCACCCACGATGCTCTCGACTCAAGTGAGCGCGCGCAACCAGCTCGTGATCTCGCAAGGCTTCTTACCGCGTGGTGACCTTGATTTCAGCTTACCAAGCTACCTACCCATGCTAGACCGATGCAGACAAAGACAAGACGCCTGATTTTGATCCAACACACAAGCAAAAGACTATCTGCGCCCCATCAGCATGTTGGCATCCCACAGCAGCACTCTCTCATCCCAGCCGACCGAGGCCACCCAGCCTCCCACACCAAACAGGCACCAGTCCACGCCCGTGACGAACTCTGTGTGACGGTTCATGATGCCCATCTGCTGGCCGAACCGGGCGCCGCCCGGCCCTGCGACGGGACCCATCGTGGAGCCGTCGTTCCACAGGCGGACCGTCATGTCGTAGCTGGCGCTGATGAGAATGTCGCTGGCGTGCGGGCTCCAGGCGACCTTGCGGACGGCATACTCGTGGCCCTGCATGAGGGACAGGGGCCCGCCGTTGGGGTTGCGAATGTCAAAGGTGCGGATGATGCGATCGACGCCGGCGGTGGCGACGACAGTGTCGTTGTACTTGTTCCAGTCGTGGGTGAGGAGCTCCGAGGGGGTGGCGCCGCCGCCCACGCCGCCGGGCGTCGGCGGCGGGGCGTGCACGGGGATCGTGGCGACGAGATGGTACTTGGCGGACGAGGGCGTGCGCAGGTCAAATAGGCGCAGGTGAGAGTCGGAGGAGACGGCGGATATCAGCGCCGGGTTTGAGGGGCAGAAGGAGGTGCTGTATGTGCAGTTGCCAATCGGTAACGTCTTGATGGAGAAGTTTCGTGTTGGTGACCACTATTGCGAAAGAGAGAAGAAAGAAAGAAAAAACGTCAGCGACGAGCCTTGATTTTGGGGGGGGAGGAGGGCGAGTTGCTCTCTAAGGGAACGTCGAGTAACGGGCGCGCATACGATTTTGACAGTGCCATCCCAGGAGCTGGAGACGAATGTGTCCTTGGTCACGGGGTTCCAGCAGACGGAAAACGTCTCGCGCTTGTGTTCGTGAAAGTTCATGACGGGAAAATCGTCGACACCGAGGTCAAAGAGCTTGAGCGAGCCATCGCCACATGCGACAATGAGCTGGTTCTCGTTGATCTCGGACCAGGCGAGATCGTAGAGGGCGTCATTGGTATCAAAGCTACACACACGGCATTTGTGTTAGAGAAGCTGACGATGAGGAGAGGAGCAAAAGTGCGCCCGCGTCGTGACGACAGCAGAGACGAGGGGGCGCGGAGGAGCGAAAAAAAAAACGAAAACGAAAAACGTACGCCTTTTCTACTTGGACGCCTTGCGCCGTGAGCCCGAGCGAGTAGAGGCGCCCATTGCCGACGATGCCGAAATTGGCAGCCGAAGCGACGGCGATGCGCGAATCGTAGTAGGGAGAGTACTTGACGGCATAGGGGTTGAAGCCTTGGGTGCGAAAGTCTAGCATGGCGGCCATGCTGGGCGGCGGCGGCAGTGAGGGGGATCGCAGCGACGAGGCGAGGGAAGACGGCCGGGGCGGCGGCGCATTCGACGGGACGAGGTACAGGCTTTGCAGAAGCGGCGTCTTGGTCGAATGGGATGTCTGTAGTCGTGAATTGAGCTATGTGAAGCCTCTTTTTGGAGCTCCTCGTCTCAGTATCAGTCTCTATGACGGGGAGGAAAGTAGTTCTGCATGTCAGGACGAGGTGCTGCTCGAAGCTTTCCGCTAACGTATGCCTCGGTTACAGGGACCCGCACAAGCTTCTCCAGAGACGTCACAGGTGAATAGGTAGTGCTGTAAGTTGGCGGCAAATCATTGGATGTTGCTAAATGAAGCCTCTCGCGAACATGAGACTGATCAGTGATCAGCTGCAGGGATTGGGTTCAATCAATTTCAATAAATTTTCGCGCTTTGTTTTAGCATTAAATTACACATGTCGACCTATGTACTCGTGGTTGAGCGATATCTCGGCCAGGGTTTGTATCTGGTCGTCGCACATCGCCATACAATTACATGAATCAAATGTATCGAGATGAGCAAGCCGTCTGCATATAGATGATTGATAAATCTCTAGATGAAAGCATTGTAACCATTTGCTTACCTTCAAGAGACTACCAGTCTACGGCATCACATGACTTCGCGTCAGGAGCGTGTGTAACGGCCGCTGGTACTATTCGGGAAAAGTTGAAGCCCCGCGCGCACTGGGCTTGACCCGCGTTTGCCACTGTGTGTTGCCTTTTTAAACAGCAACACCGTTACATCGCCCGATCGAAACTTCATCTACAGACCCTAAGTGGGGTGGCATGGTGCAAGATGAAGGCCTTTCTTGCTGGCAGTCGCAAGCGCAAGTCGACCGAGGATGCACCCAGCCAAGCTGCAGATACCGCCCACGACGACGAGCCGACCGAAGTCAAGCTCGCGATGCTCTCGTCGCTCCATCCAAAGATTGATCAAGATACCTTGTTAGATGTGCTGCTCGCTTACGACGGCTCAGTCAAGGAGGCATCGGCCTCGTTGCGTCATGTGCGCCTCGAGCCGACCAAGTCTGGTGTCATTGGCTACCAGCAGTCGCTCAAGCAGTATGCGCTTCCTGCGGATCCGACATTATCACACACAAAGAAGCTCAAGTCCAAGAAAGGTAGCACCCTGCATCTTTTTGACCCGGTGGACGTCTCGGAGCACACGCCTTGCACTATCATCCATAATTTTCTGCCGCTCGACGTCGCCAACGACCTGCTCAAAGAGCTGCTGGCAGAGTCGGAGACGTTTGAGCGCATCACCTTCAAACTGTTTGACAATGTCGTCTCTAGCCCACACACTTCGAGCTTTTATGTCGATAGTTATGAAGAGATAATGTCGCAAAAGTCAGAATTCTACTACAACGGTGCGCAGCTTACTGTAAGTCAAAGTGCCCGCTTTCACAGCCGTTTTCCTCCTAACTTGATGCCTCCAGGATGTTCGACGCATCACTCCGCAGCTATCGAAGGTTAAACCAATCGTTCAAGAAACTGTGAACAAAGAAATACAGCATCGCATCAAAACGAGATATCCCGGTGGCAAGAAGCTCAAATACCAGTCTCCCCACCCCTGGGTTCCCAACTCGGCATTCGTCAATTGCTACAATGGCGCCCAGCAGAGCGTAGGATACCACAGCGATCAGCTCACCTACCTCGGGCCACGCGCCGTGATAGGCTCCATATCGCTTGGGGTCGCACGCGAATTCCGAGTGCGCCGCGTGCTCCCCAAAGATGCCGAGACCAGGACAGCGCAAGATTCGGATGCAGAAGGCCAGATATCGATCCATCTCCCTCACAATTCGCTACTCGTCATGCACGCTGAAATGCAAGAAGAGTGGAAACACTGCATCGTACCGGCGCTCTCGATTGACCCTCACCCCATTGCGGGCAACCGACGCATCAACATTACTTATCGCGACTACCGCGCCCAGATGCACCCGTCACAGACGCCGCGGTGCGCGTGCAAGATTCCTTGCGTCCTGCGCGTTGTGCAGCGGAAGCGTGAGAATTTTGGAAGGTATTTCTGGATGTGTCATGCGGGCAACGTTCCAGATAAAGAAGGATGCTCATTCTTTCAGTGGGCAGAGTTTGACGATGACGGAAATCCCAAGTTTGATAAGAAGCCAGCAATACCCCCTGAAAGCCAGGTTAAAACGAAAACATGAATTTGCATTTTGATCATCTTTATTCGATTGCAAGGGTTTATTAGACGCGCATAACTGTGCAGCCCTGGGAGTTTGGTTACGTTGGGACCCCACTTCAAAATAACTATTTCCCCGCGAAACTCACTCTGTCCTGACACCCAGAGCCACAGCCAAACTCACTCAACTTGGACTACCCAGTCAATACTCCCACCGCTCCACGCAAAATGGCCGAGAAGCTCACGTTTTCCGCAGAACAGGCCGCTTTGCTGGAGCCTCACTTGCCGCCGACGAAGACCACTCAAGGATCAGGCATTTACGTGACCTTGACGTATGCGTCTTCGCTCGACTCTTCCCTGTCGCTCGCGCCGGGCGTGCGCACCCGCCTCTCCGGCCCGGAATCCAAAGCCATGACCCATTACCTGCGCGCCCGGCACAACGCCATTCTCATTGGCGTCTCGACGCTTCTCGCCGATGACCCCGCGCTCAACTGTCGCATAGCCGGCGCGGAGCACACGCAGCCCCGGCCCGTCATCATTGATCCGCACCTGCGCTGGACGCCCCAGGCAACCGACAAGGTGCTGGAGACGCAGCGCCGGGGCGCGGGCCTGGCGCCGTTTGTCATCACGGCAGAGTCGAACAGCATCCCCGAGGCTGCGTCGCGGCTTCTCGAGCAGCACGGCGGCAAGTACATACCGCTGAAAGTAGGGTTTCCGGGCCCGGATGGACGGCTGCGCTTTGACTGGCACGACATCTTTGCCAGGCTGGCTGACCACGAGCGCATTTCAAGTGTCATGGTGGAAGGCGGCGGGAATATTATTAATTCTCTGCTGGACCCTGCTTGTCATCAGTTGATAAACTCGGTCATTGTCACAATAGCACCGACCTGGCTAGGCCAAGGCGGAGTTGTCGTGTCGCCGGCGCGCGTGCACGATCAGTCAGGATCACCGGTAGCCGCGGCCCGCCTACATGACGTCTCGTGGCACCCCTTTGGTGAGGACATTGTATTGTGTGGCAAGCTACAATGATCACGTCGAAGGCGGCATACAACAGCGACGAGAAAAGAACCAACAACAATATATTATGTCTGTGCATTAGGTATATCGAATCACAATATCCACACCCGCGAATCAGAAGTTGCCTGCCGTTAATGGATACCCAGTTCTGCCAAGTCCTGCTCCGACACGTGAAATTGAGCCAGCGCCTGGTCGTTGAGTCCAATTTTGGCCAGCGATGCCCGCGTGGTCAGGCGCAGCGCACCAAAGACTTCGGCATTCGTGGCATTAGGCGGAATCGAAGGAACACCGGGCAGCGCATGTATTTTAAGAAATTGGGCGATGCGATAACCCTGCTTGCTGAAGACGATAAAGGCCAGCGCGACCGAGTCGGACCCGAGCGCCGACGTGACATCATTCACATGGCAGCGTTTTTCAGGCTGGTGGGCGCCCGCAAAGAAACCACCGAGCCAGTTGAGTGCGCGGATGCCTTCCGCGATGCCAGTGCCGCCGTGGTCTCCGACGACATTTCTGCGGTACTCGATGCTGGTGCCGGCAGCGCAGTATTTTTTTACCAGCTCGTCCATATCCTTGATGGGAGAGATAAGGTCCTTGACGCCGTGAAACACGTACATTGGGATTGTCGGTGTATCGCCGCGCCCGGCCAGGGTGTCGTCGTAGAATGCGCGGACAAAGGCAGGCTCGTTCAAGAAGCTGAACCCCTCGACAAAGTATTTTGAGATGTCCTGGTTTTGGAACAGTGCCGTGGCCGTCTGGGAGTCCATTTTCAACGCGCTGAAAAATGTGGTCGAGTTGTACAGGCCCGTCTTGCGCAGGTTTTTGGCAAGAATCATTCTGGCCTCCTGGCTCTGCGCTGTCGTGCCGAGCAAAGCAAGGACTATGAGACCTGCCGCTGGTCCGTTGTTGATGGCGGGAATGACGCTGGTGGCGTTGACGGCGAGGCCGCCGTAGGCCATGACGCCGATGGCGAGCTCCGGAGCGTACGACGGCTGCAGCTGCGCGGCCCACTGGCTCGCAAAGGCGCCGCCCGAGTAGCCGTACACGGCGTGCTGGAAGTCGGGGCAGAGGCCAAAGAGGTCGTGGAGGGACCGCACAGCGCGGATGGAGTCGAGCAGGCCGTGGCCCGAGTTGTTGCCTGCGAGGTAGGCGGCGCGCGGGCCCTCGTAGTCGGGCATGTTGACGACCCAGCGCTTGCTGACGAGCAGCGGCGTGAAGATGGCCTGCTCGACACTCGAGCCCACGAGGTTGCTGAGGGCATAGCTGGGGCTGCTGTCAACGCTGGCAGAGTCGTAGGCTGGCGGGTACGTCACGAGCGCCTTGGAGTCGGCGTCGTGCGGGACTAGAACGGTCGTGACAGAAAAGGTCGGCTCGCCCGCGCTGTCGGTGCTGCAGAATAAGATGTTCCAGGCGTCCTGGATGCCGCGCAGGCTCTCGCGCGCGGTCTTGGGTGCGCGTCGGAGACGAAGCACCTTGCCCGGTGCGCCAGAGCAGTCGACGCCTTTGGGCAGCGTGTACCAAGGGTCCTGGCTGGGCGGCTGCGCGTCATCGCAGTCTGCATCCGCGAGGACAAAAGGGCAGAGGAGAAGCGCAAGCAAAGGCGTCAAAGCACGGACGAACTGCATCTTGTCGGATTGTAGATTTGCGTGTCTTGGGAGAAAGCAGGAAAGATTGCTGCCAAGCTTGGGATGACGGGCAGTTTTTAAGAAGTTTCCGACAAAGTCTAACAGCAAACGTGGGGAAGGGCTATCTTTGTAGGGAACAGGCCCCGGAACTAATAATATTGGAGGAACAGCCGGCAGGTGATGTTTGAATGGCGGGCCGGTCACACAATGTTTGGGCGCATCGCCGGGATTATCATGTTTGCTGCATGATGGGCAACGGCGCGCCGTCCCGGGCAAATGAAGTCGATAAGCGATGGGCTTAATACGACAGATAATGACTATTTTACCTCGCGTGATTGCATTGCGGCGACTGGTCACGGACGTCACGGGTCCGCCCTCGATCTATCAGAAGGCTGAAATTATGGGGAAAATCCAGAAATCTACAACGAAGCATGATGGTGTGGATGGGTATCATAGTTTTTTTTGGTGGTGAGCAGCTTAGCATAGATGTCTCAACTCTGACGTATACCAGAACAAATCTGGGTTGGCTGAGCAGCTAAATTTAGGTAGCGTTGCATTGGTTCTGCCTCGCTGCGCACCATCTTTTTGTCAGTTCCCTCGGAATCCAATTTTTTTCTGACCAAGTCCTCAATTTAGTCGCAGCGGGCCCATATTAGCTGTTTATGCCTCTTGTCCGCATGCCCACTTTGTTGAAGGTTCTCTTTATACGATTAATAAATCGTGACCAACAACAACAACCCCTGCAGGCGCGAGCCGACTTGTAAGTTGTCCATGGCAAGATGTGGAGTCTGCTCGGGCGATCGATCTTTATTTTTTTTTTAAAGAAAGAAAAAAATAACGAAAATAAAACAAAAAAAAAGAAGAAGAAATGGCTCGATTGTCAAGTGTATTTCGATCCTGAATCTGCGCATTCCGCTGTGCAAACGTCCTTGGCGCCGCATCAACCATATCGCAAACAAAGGAACGACGAAGCATGGTAAAGAGGTGGACCGAAATCCCGCATGTTTGATGATTTCTATAGAAAACAAAAAAGGAGGAAAACCCCCCGGCAGTCCGAGCACTTGTGTATTTTGTATGCTATGACTCTATGAGTTGCTTTGCATGGATCGGCGTACCTATGCGGGCCCAATGGACCCAAAGGTAACTACTACCGTACCTACGGATCAGGTAGGTACCTACCTAAGGTATCTGATGAGAGAAGTGCCCTGTAGAGCTCCCAGCAAATGGTCAAGCATACACAGTTGCTGGCAGACATGGACTTGGGAGACAAGAATTCTTGCGCAAGTGCTAAGCTAACTAGTTTGTAGACAACAAAGAAAATCCAAAATAAAATGTTGAAAATCTATCTAATGCACATTTGTTTTTTCCCCTCTAATAAAGAGGCCATCACACAGCCTTGAGCTAGGGTAGGTAATATATGCCTTCCGCCCCATCCGCCAAAGATTAATTGCGCGTTCCTGCTTTGCTTTTTGTATTATACCGACTCATATTTCGGAGGTATCCGTCGCAGCTGCCGAATCTCTGTGATTGCGCAATCTGGAATGTGGTGAAAAAAAAGTTGCTCACCTTGAGAGTAGCGTTCCAAATGATCCGGGTACTTTATATGCAGCGTGTCAACGGCATAACCCCCGGCAGAAAGAAACGGTACCTCGTTCCGAGCGGCCACGAGCAAGCTAATCACCACGAGGGTCACCTCTTTTCCTTGTCGTAGATATCGAGATGCAATTTCGTAGGCGGCATCTTCCTCATAGGCCGAAAGCATCGACGACTCGCCTGGGTTGCTCCAGTGCTTCCGCATCGCCACTCTCCGCTCTCTGATAGGGGACCGCTCTGGATGCAAATCGTCTTTGCCAGGAGCGTGTACGCCTTGGCCCGGCTTTGCGACATCGTTGATGCCCAGAGTGCTTACGAAAAACACATTTTTCTCGGTCCAACTCATCTTGAAAAAAAAAAGCAGATGATGCTATGACGATAGCCAAAGACAACTTGAATCTGTAAAGTTGTTTTTTAGTAGTGAAGGAATTTTGCTTGCTTGTTGATGCCACCCAAACCGCGTCGCCTTGAAATATATATATATATATATATATATAACCCGGCGGCACGTGACCAATACGTCCTGCCCATCCTCGAAACAAGGAAAAAAATTGTCGAGGTGGCACATGTCAAAGAGGATGAGACTCTGTGAATCAGTCTTGGAAGCGGATGACTATGCAAATAGATGGGTTGCTTTGCGAGCCAGACTTCCGCATGCACAGCCACGAACAGCCTACGAGCACAGCAGCCCAGAAGCCGGTGTCATTGACACTTCTGTGGCACTTGCGGGGAAAAGGCTCAAACAGTGAGTGAATGGAGCAAAGAAGGGGGAACAAAAAAAA